AGAGACAGTGTGGATATATAGTTCAGGTTGCCCTTGAACTTGTGTACGCCATGTTGGACTCAAACTCAAAGTGGTTCTATTGCATCAACTTCTGCAGTGCTGGGATCAAAGTGAGCACCACCATGCCTGGCTTTTTTTTAATACTTACATTGATGGGAATTGAGCCAAGTCCAAGCACTGAGAGCCAGGGCCCTCACTAAAATCACAAGCCATCATCTTTGACCAATCTTTTACTTTTACTTCTTTTTTTTTTTCCAGACAGGGCCTCACCATGCAATTCAGACCATCTTACAATTCACTATGTAGCCCAAGCATGCTGCAAATTCACATTAATTTGAGGTAGGGGTATTATAGCTCAGTGGCATAAGCACCTGCCTTGCAAGTGCAAGGTCCTTAGTTTGATTCCCAGTACCAAAAAAAAAAAAAAAAGTTAAACAAATATACATTGATCTTGCTGCTTTAGCCACACTATTAAAGGTAGGTGCTACCAGGTTCTGCTGAGCAACCATTTAAAGAACAAAACTCAAATATTTGAATTGTGAGAAAATAATTTTCCTTGCAAGTGCCTGGGAGGCTGGGGCAGCAGAATCCCAAAATTCAAATCCAAGCCCAAAACTGGTAATGTAGTGACCTAGTAAGATCTTGTCTTAAAGATTTCTGATGTAATTCAGCCTGGGTACAGGCAAGTAGGATGGGAGAGTGGAAGGAGAGAGCAAAGGAGAAAAGGAAAGAGGAGGAGAGGAGTAAGAGACTTACAGCTGGATGAGGTGGTGCAAGCCTCTCGTGCCAGTCCTTGAGGGATTGACAAAAGATGGAGAGTTCAAAGTGAGCCTAGGTGTGAGGAGGCCCCGTCTCAAACAAAACACCAAATATAGTAGTGTTGGGGGTGTGACCTCTAGCATTCAGTTCCCTGCTTCAGACCTTGATATTGAAAGAAAATACACACATATTTGCTGTGATAAGTTCAATGCATTCTAATCCACAGTTCTACCATAGAGAGAGCTTCCCCTGGCTCTTATTAAAATCCTACTAGAGCCAAGTGCAGTGGCACACCTGGTAATCACAGCAAACAGGAGGACTGAGGCCAGCGAGGGCTATGCACTGAGCTCAAGGCCAGCCTATAGTATATAGCATAGATCTTGTCTCCAGAAAAAAAAAAATAAATAAATAAACAAATAAATAAAAATATGAACAAAATACTAAGACAGGAGTTGGGGACAGTGGGGCAGCCTATAATCACAGCACTGGGAAAGAAGAGCAGGAGTTCTAAGACCACCAGGGGTACATAGTGTATTCACGGGAAGCCTGAAATGCACAGTGAGAATCTGGGTCAAATAAATAAATAATTACTTAATTAATTAATTTTAACTTAAAAAACAGGCTTGGTGATCCACTCATGTAATCCCAAGATTTTGGAAAGCCGAGGAAGGAGGTTTCCAATTTGTAGTCCAATGAAGATACCTTAGTGATTCTGTCTCAAAATGGAAACTAAAATAAAAATGGCTGAATGTACAGCTCAGCTGTAGCAGCTCTAGGACTGAGCATCTCCTGCTCTGCCCCTCTCCTCTTTTATCCCCTGTGTTAGCCACACCCTCCCCTCCCTGCTCCTCCCTTCCCAGCAAACTCAAATTCCTGACTGGTTCACTCCCTCTCCACCCAGTTAATCCTGGTGTGCTCAGGGCTTTCTCCATGCTCATGGGTTCTCGCAGAACTGGAGGTGGGAATAGAAGAATTCAGGGTAGAATGTCAAGGGCAGGAATGGCCCCTTTAATAGGATGAGTCCCACCCTCAGGAGAAAAACAAGATAAATATGTTCTCTAATTTAGTGCAGTGAAATCCAAGTTGCCCTTGCTCCTCCCATTCACCTCCTTTAGCATTAGGAAGAATTAACATGACTGACAAGGGTGCCCCCGCTGAGTTCTAAAGAGACAGCTTTCGCTGAAAGAGAAATCTGAGCTTTTACATAATAGATGAAATAACAAAGCATGGTTTGCTGGTGGACAACTGTAATCCCAGCACTGGGGACACTGAGGCAGGAAGATTACAGTGAGTTCCAAGCCAGTAGGAGTGACAATGTGAGTTCAAGGCCAGCCTGAGTTGCATAGTGAGACCATGTCTCAAAAAAAAATTATGAAATGACATAATTCAATGCACAAAGCAAGATATAAGGTGAAGGACAATTTGTACATTTAGAATCAAAACAGAAATTTAACCCTGGCTTTATAGATGCAGTCACAGTCCCAATGGTAGTGAGGCAGAGGCAGAAGAATCTGGAGTTCAAGGTCAGCCTGGGCTACATACAGAGGTGAAATTCAAGGAGAACACAGCAAGACCTCAAGTCATAGAAAATATGACACTTACAGTAACCCAACCCTATCTGTCTGAAGAGACAGAAGTCACAGAATCCGTGGTGCCATCTGTGACTTCTGTGCTCACAGGACACTGGCCGAGGGTGGGGAGGTGGGGTAGCCTCACGGAGGCCAGGGACTCACCAGGTGCAGACTCAGGCGACAGTGATGCAGCTCCGGGAATCCAGGCAGGACCAGCGGCAACTGGCAGTTCAAGGAATGAGCATCTCCTCCTCTGCCCCTCTCCTCTTTTACCCCCCTTGTTAGCCACACCCTCTCTTTCTGCTCCTTCCTTCCCACCAAACTCAGATCCCTGATTGGTTCACTCCCTCTCCACCCAGTTAATCCTGGTGCACTCAGGCTTTCTCCATGCTCCTCGGTTCTCGCAGAACTGGAGGTTGGAATGGAAGAATTCAGGGTAGAATGTCAAGGGCAGGAATGGTCCCTGTAATGGGATTTTTGGTTGAACCCGAATATTGACTTTTCCAGAGTTAAAACCGTTGTACAGTATCAGGGAGCAGTGGTTGGAGGCCACAGTCCCAGCTGCTTTGCATGTAGGAGTTGAGTTTAGCCTGTGCAACAAAGGAAGGCCTCACTTCTAAAAACAGAAGATCACAGAACAAAGCAAAATGTAGGGGCATGATGGAAGGTAGGCCTCACTTCTAAAAACAGAAGATCACAGAACAAAACAAAGGGTAGGGGCATGATGGCCTATACCTGTAATCCAAGCACACTGGGTGGATGAGGCAGGGTGATCACAAGATTAGGTTCAGCCTGTGCAATTTGTGGGTAAAAATGCCCCGCTCTTAAAAATAACAGAAGTGGCCAAGTGCAGTGGTGCATGCCTGTGAGCAAGGGCACTAGGATTAAGGGTGTGGGTGCTCCCCACTCCCTGTAGCCTGGATAAGATATGATGGACAGAAAGAGCTGTGGTCATCCTGTGATTGTTTTGCTACCTTCTACCTGCCATGAACTGTTTCTCCTCTGCCATTCCACCCTCCCATGGAGTCAGTCTGTTATGGTTTGAAACCTCTACAAACTGTGGGCTAAATAAACCTTTCCTCCTCAGCTTTTGAGTGTCTGGTATTTTGTCTCAATAATGAGGAAATTAACTAAGATAGAATTCTTTATGAGTCCAAGAAAAATTATATAAATTAT